TAACTTCAGAGCTGGATTCTTAACAGCTGCCCTAGAGGTGTAGACTGCCCAGCTACAAGGGTTTTGGAGATTATCTGGTCTCATATGTACAGAGGAGAATAGGGGAGGTCCAGAGAGGCATGAGACTCAGCTCAGCCTTCCCCCTCCTACCCAGTGTTAGTTCTGGGCTGTGACCCAGTAGGTGTCCAGATGCCTGACAACATTCTCCAGGCCAAGGTATATAAGAAGCCTGTGGCCTGGGGATGCGAGGACAGCTGGACAAACAGTTTGGGTCTATGGGGCCAGTCTCCTGCCAGGACTTGGTGTCCTCATGGAGGAGTGGGCAGAGTGTGGAGGGTGGTGGGGGAAGATGGGGACCCCTACAAGCACCTTCCCTTTCCAAGCCTGTACCCAACCTCACCTTGGAGAAGAGCTCCTGCCCTAGTGCCTGACCAGCTCCAAGCCTGGCTGAGTCTAGAAACGGCTCCATTGGAGACTCCAGGGACTGAACTGTGGTTGGCTCCTGGAATCATCTGAGTTGTGATGGGATTCCCCAGCAGCCTCCCAGCTCATGGAGAATTTCTGGATGGAAATACTCCCACGGCAAATGATTTGCAGAGCCAGGAGCTATCTTTTAGGAACCTTCTGGGTCACTAAAAACTTAGAATTGGACTCCCCTGTGCTGACTGGAATGTGAATTTAAATTCTGGCAGTGATCACTGAGAAGGGATGAAATCCTGTGACTTCCGATTGGCCCAGAGCCAAAGAACCACACACTGTCTAGGTTGAATGCCATCACTTAGGTGAAAATGTCTCACTGCACAGATAAGGAGACCGAGGCACAGAGCAGGCAAGGGCGTTGTGCATGATCACACAGCGTGCTAGACTAGAGCTAAGCTCTCTTGACTCTATTGCCCTTTCTACTGTGCTAACAGCCTTCACCTATCCCGAGTTGTCTGGGACAAGTCCTGATGGTGTAGAGCTTTATTCTGTTAAGTAAATGGGGTTTAAAGTGTGGCACTACCTGTGATTTTGACTTGTATCATTTTGTGAGACTTTTCAACTAAATAATTTACAGATCAAAGAAAACACCCTTGTCCAGATCACATGCCCTAAGTGAGAGTTTGAAATGATTGACCCAGAGAGGAGTCCAGCAGGCTCCCTGTGCCTGCCAGGACCACAGCAACATTCTGAGCAAGGAATTGTGAACCTGACTGTGTGCTTTGTGCCTCGCACAAAGCCTGGCTACCCTGGCCAATGGATGGTGCAGAAACTAGAAATTCATCCAAAGACTGCCATTTAAAGACTGGACATGAGACCAGTGACCAATGAGGTAGTCACCATGAGGACTCCGTCTGAGAGGGGTGTGCCATACTGGATGGCGATCGCTGAGCCAGTTGGAGCCCCTGCTCAGGGACAGAGAGAAGGGAGTCGGGGAAGCTGGAGGAGCTAGAGTTGTAGAAGAACAAACAGCAATGGAGAGAAGGAGGGATCTAGAATGGGGATATGGGGATGGCAAGAGGAGTGGGTCATGTGAGGGGCCCACCTATCCCGACCAGCATCCCAGTTTACCATGAGTCCTGATCATGTGACTGGGAAGTGCTCTTTTGGGTGTCTTCCCTTTCCTTTGGATGCGTCCTTGCAATAAATACTCTGAAGCAGCCCAGGAATGGCCATGGCCAGGACACCTGGGAGCCACCCTGAATTCTGGACAACTGAAAGATGGGCATAGGGTGGGGGCCAGTGTTCCTCATTGGGCCAGTTCTTCTTGCTTCAGGTGGAGACCCAGTCAAGCCAAGGGGAGACTCTGAAGCAGCCCAGGAATGGCCATGGCCAGGACACCTGGGAGCCACCCTGAATTCTGGATAACTGAAAGATGGGCATAGGGTGGGGGCCAGTGTTCCTCATTGGGCCAGTTCTTCTTGCTTCAGGTGGAGACCCAGTCAAGCCAAGGGGAGGCATTGCTGGCTCCATTGTCTGCTGATCCTAGGCTCCAAGGTAGAAGCTCCAGAGGTAGAAACCAGGTGGGGCCTGGTGACTCCCAGAGTAAAGGCCAGATCTCAGTGGGCAGTGCAGCACAAGGCTGGTCCTGGGTGCCAGCCCCAGATTATCTAAAGATTGGAAAGAAGGGAGCCCTGCAACCAAAATGACCTGAAATGGCCAGTACCAACAGTTTCCCGTATGGCTGGGTGACAGATGGGCTGGCACAGAGGACCCTTCTGCCTTTTTCTCATTCTCTCTCCTCCTGGCTCCTGCTTCTCTTCCCCGACTCACTTCCACACTCCCCTATTCATGCTTTCTGGGATCGCCTGCCACATAAGCTATGTGCCCTCACATCCCTGTCTAGGGGTCTGCTCCTGGGGAAACCCACACTAAGATACAACTGTGATCACAGTTCAGTGTGTTATAAACAGGAGCCCTAACCCAGGCTCTGCAGAGCCACAGAAGACTTTTCAGAGGAAGTGATCCGAGCTAAGGCAGTAAGGACAAGTTGGGCCAGTGAGCCAAGTGTAGTGGTGGGTGGATGGGGAGAAGTCAAGTGCTGGGCATGTGTGAAGGGCAGGGGCAGTCTAGGAACTGAAAGAAGCTGGATGAGGCTGGACTTCGGGATGCAAGGGAGCGGGTGTTAAAACCTGAAGCTGCTGAGGCAGGTTGGGGCCTGATCATGGTGGGCCTTGTAAGAAAGTAGGAAGTCACCGAGAGGTTGAAGCAGGCGTGCAATATGATCTCTTTCATGTTTATTAAGTTCCCTCACAAATCTCTAAATACAGATTTGAGAATAATTAGCTGATAACCGAAGCCCGGGGGCCTGCCGAGTTGTCCAATAGGGTCAGTAGTAGCTGCTACTGAGTGCTTGAATTGAGCTCGTCCAAACTGAGATACGCTGTTAGTGTAAAAGACACCCCTGATTTTGAAGACTTAGTATGAGTGTTAAAGACTATAAAATATCTCATCTTTTTGATAACTTTTATGTTGATTAATGTTAAAATGGTAATATTTGGATGCATTGGATTAAATAAGATATATTAGTATAATTCTTGTATTATGTATATATTATTAAAATTAATTTCACCTGTTTCTTTTTACTTTCTAAAAATGGCTACTATGAAATTTAAAATTACATATACGGCTTGCATTGCATTTCCACGGGACAGAGCTGGTGAAGTATGTCAGAAGACGCAGTCCTAGGAGGGATTTCTGAAGAACGTCAGTGCTTAAGAGATCGCCTGAGGAAGAGGAGCTGCTTTTGGAATTGTTCGGTTGTAAGAAACAGAACCCTTGAGTTTGCTTAAACACAAAGGGGAATTTATTTGGAGAATTCAGAATATTTAATAGGACTCAGGGGTAGAAAGTGCACCCAGAGCTGATGAGGAACTGGGACAGGAATTTGTTAAGAACCAAGGTAATAGTCTCACCAGCTCTTTTTCTCTGGGCTCATGTGGTCTCTTCTCTTTTTCTCTGTGCACCTGCCTTATTCTCTCTCTGCAACTGGCTTTCTCTGCTCTACTTGCATCTGGGCTAGCCCAGCCTCATGCTAACTTGCCTGCTCAGGGCAAGCACCAAGAGATGGACCAGAACTTCTTGCATATCCCAACTCTTAGCACAGGAGGGAACGTGATAACGAAGTTTGGATCAGGAGTGCCCTCTGTGCTAGTTAGTCATGACCAGAGGTGGAGCGTCATGGAACTTTTTGGCTAGTAGACTCTGGGGACACAGACCCTTGGAGAAGAGGTGGGGACAAGATAGGCAAAGTGGCCACTGTGACATTTATAGGAGACCCCAAAGGATCCTGAGAAGGAGCAGCCATCGTGTGAGAGGGAGCTGCAAACACATAGAATCTCAGAAACCAGGGAAGGAGGGAGTGACCAGTATGGTCAAATGTGCTGAGAGGGCAAGTGAGAGGAGGCGTGAAAAATGACCTGTGGGTTCAGCACAGGGAGGTGATGAGCATCCTTGCGGAAGGCAGTTTCAGGGAGGGAAACTTCAGCCCAAGTGCAGTGGGGAGATGTGTGAGGTTAGGAAGTGGAGGCAGGGGAGGCAGACAGCTGCTTTATGAAGTTTGGACTCAAAGGGGGACAAAGAGACAGTGTGGCCCCTGGAAGGAGATACGGCATTCAGGAAGGGTTCGTTTGCTTGTGTTTGTTTTTTTTTTGAGATGGGAGATGCCTGAGCTTGTTTAACTGGTGATGGGAGGGAGCTGGAAGAGGGGAAAAGGGCAGAAACCCAAGGGCGAAAGAAATGGTTGCTGGTGGGACAGGCTTGATGTAGAGTAACAGGGCCCATGGGAGGCCTGGCCCTTCTGCTGTGACCAGAGGGAACCAGGGAACATGGCAGTAGACATGGACAGTACTCAGCTACAGCTGCAGTTTTCTCAGTTAAGTAGGAGACAAAACTGCTGTCTGCTGGGCATGGGGCTGGGACACAGATCAGAGATTTGGGGCAAGCAGGGGAGAAAGAATCAGTATTGGAGGAGCCTCAGCTTCTGTGTGAAGCCTTCTGGACTGGTCCAATCATCTCCTCACATGCATGCTGGGACATGTAAGCACCCACATGGTATTTCCATGCATGGGCCTGGTGTGCACACACCTCAGAGCTCACACATGCATGCACATGCTCACATCAGCCCAACCTGCATGCACCTGTGTACCTCTACCTGTCTGTGCACACAAGTGTGGATGGATGTGTGTCCTCACATGTCCACACTGTGGCCAGCCCCCTTCTCTATCCCCATTTCTGAACAGCATGGATTTAGTTTTTATTGCTGTTTATTGAAAACTCCCATCAAAGAAAGGGGTGGGGGGCAAGAAGGAGAAGCTGTCTTTCTTTGTTAGAACTGAGCCAGGAGACTTCAGGGCAAGGGGGCTGGGACAATGGGGGAAAGTGGCCAGTGGGGAAGGACTGGACAGAGGACTGTCAGGGCCCAGGTTGCAGGGAGGATGAGGGCAGGGGCGGGTGTGTGAAGACCTGTAGCTGAAACTTAGAACTGGCCAGGGCTGGGCTGGGCCGGGAGCTCTGGTGGTGGTGGTGGTGTTGGAGACGCCTTCACCCAGCTCTCAGAAGGCTTTGTCCTAGGAGCCTGGACCCATCCACGGCCTCCTCCCAACTCCAACGTGCCCCCAAAAGCCCAGAGGCAGGCAGAGCCCTAGCTAGGATCAGTCTCTGGAGGGCAGGGAAAGGGGGTTCTGTTGTCCTCATCTGGGGTCCAGGCCCGGTTCACAAGGCTGCAGAGGGATCCTCTGGGATGCCTTTTCTGCTTCTGGCTCCTGCTTTGGCTTCTTTGCCCGTGAGGACCTAGGAACAGACAGCTCAGGAAATGCCCTGGGCCCAGACCTGCTTCCCCAAGGAGGAGCACTGATGGCGCTGGAGGCAGAGGACTGACCAGATTTCCATGTCTTCCAGAGTCTCTGGCAAGGGCCGATTGAGGGTCTCAGGCAGGAAGAGGGCAGCGCTGCCTCCCAGGAGGGCGATGGTCCCATAGATGACATTGGGGATGAAGGGCTGCACGTCACCCGTGATTTTCACCAGCGGGGATGTCATGCTTCCCACACGGGCCCACACGTTACTTAAACCCATGCCTGTTTGCCTGAGAGGGTTCAGAGCAGAGATTGGCAGCTTCTGTGTGGGGTTCTTAAAAGATGGCTCTGGGACCCCTGGGCAGGGGGCAGGAGGATGCCACAGTCCCACCTGACCCTGTGTCCTCTGGCTGGGCCCAACCCCAGGTCCAGCACCTACCGAATGACGGTGGGGTATAGTTCACTGGTGTAGAGGAAGAGGCAGCTGAAGGAGCTAGACAGGCATCCCTTTCCAAACACAGCCAGTACTGTCCTCACGGTCTGCATGTCTGCAGAAGGAAGAAAATGTGCTGGGCCTGGCAGTTTGGGAGCACCTGAGTGTTCTTAATCCTCAGCAGATCTTGTATCCCTTTTTTCTTTGGCTGCCGGGAAGCTCAGATCTAAACTTAAAGCTGAATAATAGCCCCTCTGCTGTTCCTAATGCTTTTCATGCTTGTGTCCTGCTGTGTTTGTGTTTTCCCCTGGTTCTGTTCCCTCTTCCTATTTATATTTTGCTGTATATGTTCTTGTCCTAAAATACCTCAGATTCCTTTGGAAGGATATGGGTGTATAAACAAAGAAACATCTGTATAAAATAAAAGTGGCTTTTCCAAGGTCATAGTGGAGTACGTCGTAGGGTCTTTCTTGAGCACTGAGCTCTGTTGTTTCCCCATCTCAGCTCGTCCTATGCAGTAAGGTCACCCAGGACATGCCCAATCCCCAAGCAACTCCTCACACTATCCAGACACTACCATACTTTGCCCAGTCCAAGTCAGCTCTGGTAAGGAGCTTTGATGTCATCAAGCCCAACTGAATTATTTTCTAGATGAAAGACCTGAGCCCCAGAGAGTGCAGGGACTTCACAGTGAATTAGAGGCAGAGCCAGCAGACCTGGAGTCCTTGGCATCCCACATTCCACCCTATGGCAGCCTCTTCTAGAAAGTTCCAGGGTTGCCCCAGCTTCTCACCTGAGGGCACAAAGATGAGAGCCAGGATGGCCCCTCCTGCCAGGAGCAGGGCAGCGGCCTCAGTGGTGTGCCGGCCCAGGTAGCTCATGGATAGGATGGCGATGAACTTGGCTGGGATGTCAACCCCGCCAAAGATAATCTGGAGGACGTAGATGTTGACTCCGAATTCTTCCACACCCATAGCCAAACTGTAGTAGGCAAAACCGGTGGAAAACCTGAGGGGCAGAGAGGGATTGGTTGGCACCTGCCGCCAGGTGGGCACGTCTCACCCACACCGGCTGTTGGGTCACCAACATGACAAGTGGCTTCATCGTTTTGTGTCAGCTGCGACTGCTGGGTAGGGGCTGCTCGAGTGCCATTTGAAGCTTCTGAGATTGTGTCTGGGCTGAGTGGGAAAGTGCTGGGATTGACTGGCCATGTCTGACATGGGTGTGCCCTGGAGTGTGGTAGCAAAGGGGCCCGTAGTTGGCCCTAGAGAATGATCAGGACTGGAGGGAACCTTGGAGACCAAAGGAGGCAGTGAATGATCTCCCTTGGTTGAGTAGCAGCTTCCTATCCAGACGGGGGAGGTGAAAGTCGAGCTGTGCACATGGGTTCCCCTCTCAGAATTGTAGGATCCCTTTTGAGAGATTCCTGGACAAACTGGATCCCATTCACAGAGAGATGGCCCTATAGAGAAGGACCTCAGAACCAGGTCACAGAAAGGGTTTTGAGGGAGCCACAGAATGTCAGACAGAAGAGGAAACTCAGGAGAAACACAATTTGTCTTCTAGTCTGCAGCTCAGAGGGCCAGCCTTGCTCTGTGGGGTTCCAGAGGGCATAGCTGGACCAGCTGGGGAAAGAGTGCGGGGAAATTGCCATGGCAGGGATGGGAGCTGGTGAAGGAGTCTGGAGCATTTGTCCGGCGGGTGGGGGTGGTGCTGGTGTGTGTGACTCCAGAGGGAAGCAGACCCCGATGGCTGGGCTTGGGTGTGGGGTACAGATGCAGCACCAGAGGGTGTAGCTGGACCAGCTGGGGAAAGAGTGCGGGGAAATTGCCATGGCAGGGATGGGAGCTGGTGAAGGAGTCTGGAGCATTTGCCCTGCGGGTGGGGGTGGTGCTGGTGTGTGTGACTCCAGAGGGAAGCAGACCCCGATGGCTGGGCTTGGGTGTGGGGCACAGATGCAGCCGATTTCTGGGGTTGGGGCTGGGCTATGGTGGCTCAGGGGAGAGGACCCCTTGACGTCTCTTGCAGTTGCCTGAGTTTCAGGCAAGCCTGCTGGAGGCCTCGTTCATCACCCCTGCCTTGGTAGGGTGTGGGCAGGGAGGGAGTGGTGGGTTACCAGGCCAGGGAAAGACAGATGGTCATGCGGCGCAGGATGGGTGTCCGGAACAGGTCGGCTGCACTGTACTTGGTCTTGGCCAAGGAGATCTCCTTCTGCAGGTTGAGTTTGAGCTCCTTGGGGCAGAGGAGCAGGAGGGGTGTCGTTGGTGATCAGCAGGGGGAAGGAAGAAAAGAGGGAGATGTAGGCCTGGCGCCTCTGCAACAACTCACTGAGGGGCTCACACGCGATGTGGGCTGTGATCAGGGCAAACGGGCAAGGGAGGGACCATCCCCAGCGTGAGCACAGGGGACCTGCCCCCAGATCACAGTCCCTTGTGGCCCTACCTCTAGGCTGAGTTTTGCTCCCTCATCCTTCTTGCCATTGAAGGCAGCCACCCGCCGGAGCGTCTTCAGGGCCTTCGAGGACTTTCCAGACAGGACCATCCAGCGTATGGACTCTGGTACCCACCTGGGGGACAGAGTCCAGTCATAGTGGCTCCCTCCACTCTAGAACCCCTTTTGAGAGGCTGGGAGGCCAGCAACAGCCAGGGACAAGGAGCAGGAGGTTCAGAAACCGCAGCTGCCTTACTGCAGATTTCATGGGATTAAACTCGGCCAAGCTTTGCACCTGGGCTGCCTGCAGCCAGCGCAAATTCCAGAGTTCTGTTCTTCCCCTTCCAGACCAACCTTTCCTCTGTCCCCTACCTGCGACTCTTGTTATTGTTGGGTGTCTTCCTTAGCCAGGAGCCCCAGGCTCTAGGCCAAGGCAGGTGAGGCTGGGGAGGGGACGGCACGGTCGAGGATGGACAGTGGGAGCGTCGTGCCTGTCCACCTTCCCAGCCTTCCGTGGGCTCCATCTCAGTCTCTCTGATGAATAAGGGGCAGGGCTGCGACCCCGGGGCAGCTGGGGGGGGGGGGGTGGGGCGGAAAGGGAGGGCTGGGGCCTATGGAATGGGCCTGAGGACCCTTAAAATCTCCCTGCAAAGGACCAACTCTACTGGGAGGGTGATAGTTGGAGCCTAGCATGGGGTCTCTGGATTGGCAAGTGGTGGTCACCTTCACTGTCCCTCGTCCCTAGGCTGTCCTTCTGGAGCTAGCTCACCACGAGCAGTCCCTGAGGGATATTAGGTGAGTGGAAGAGACGGCGGTGTGGGGAGAAAGGAGTGGTGTTTGCAGAAGTCTGGTCTGGGGTGGAATTGGCCCCAGCTGTCACCCAGGACCTGGCTCCTGCGAGGCCCTCAGGGGGTGGACATTGGTCACCTGGCCTCAGACCACTGTCCTAAGCTGAGGTGGTGGCTTCCTGGGCCCATCGCTATCTACCCCGGGGGGGGGGGGGCTGGAGCTGAAAGCGAGGGCTGTGGCCTATGGAATGGGCCTGAGGACCCTTAAAATCTCCCTGCAAAGGACCAACTCTACTGGGAGGGTGATAGTTGGAGCCTAGCATGGGGTCTCTGGATTGGCAAGTGGTGGTCACCTTCACTGTCCCTCGTCCCTAGGCTGTCCTTCTGGAGCTAGCTCACCACGAGCAGTCCCTGAGGGATATTAGGTGAGTGGAAGAGACGGCGGTGTGGGGAGAAAGGAGTGGTGTTTGCAGAAGTCTGGTCTGGGGTGGAATTGGCCCCAGCTGTCACCCAGGACCTGGCTCCTGCGAGGCCCTCAGGGGGTGGACATTGGTCACCTGGCCTCAGACCACTGTCCTAAGCTGAGGTGGTGGCTTCCTGGGCCCATCGCTATCTACCCTCCTGGCCTTGTGGTTTCTGTTTCTGCCCTGACAGGCTTCTGGGCCTGCTCACACCGAGATTCTCAGTGACTTCCTCCCAAACACCACGGCCAGGGCCTGGCCTCCATCCTCCTCTCCCTGAGAAGAGTGACAGCAAGGGCCTCCAGCTAGTGAGCCCTCCTGCGTACCAGGCCCAGGAAGCTCTGAGTGGTAGGCAATAGCATCTTCATTTTATCTAGACAAACCTTGAGGCTCCGAGTAGGCGAGAATTGCCCAAAGTCCACAACGAAGGGGCCCGAGCTCTGATGACTTCCTGCCCTTATTTTGCCTCCTGCCTCTGATGGCTCCTTCTCTGCTCTCATGCCAGGCTGCGGACATGCCCGGGGCCCTCTGGCCATCGCTCTTGCTTTCTCGCCCCAGACTGCCCACCCCCTCTAGGAGCTTCTGTTCTCATTTCCAGGCTGAGATCCTATCCCAGTTCTGCATCTTTTTGTGTAACTTGGGGGAATGGCTTCACTTCTCTGAGCCTCAGTTTCCTCATCTATAAAATGGGGGCAATAATGCCCCCTTCACACAGACATGCCACAAGGACCAGAGACAACGTAGGTCGATGCCCAGAACATGGCCTTGCACATAGTAAATGCTCAATAAAAGGTCCAAGACTTCACTTCTTTTCCGAGCTCCTTTGTGATTTCCTGTTCTTTGGCTCCAGCTCCCTTGTGGACTCGTTTCCTGTCGTTCAGTGCGGCCTGGCGTTTGGCATGTTGCTAACGAGCTCTCTGTCCCCTCTGGGTCTCTGGCCCCTTCTGCGATTCTCCCAGGTTTCTAGGCTGGAACTCCTCTTTGGACTTCCCTTTCCTTTACACTTCAAATCCAGAAGTCCCTCAATTATTCCTTCAAAATGTCTCTTAAATTTGTCCCCTAGAATCCTCCTGCTCACAGTCACCTGCCTTTTGTCTCTCGTCCCCACCCAAGTGGGTCTGTCCTTCTGGACAATAATAACTTCACAAGTGAAAGCTTGGTCAGGGCTGCCGGCACCACGGACACCTTCGGTGGCTTCTATCTCACTCCATATGAAGTTGAAGCCTCCCTGGTTTTCTGTGCTCTCTACAGCTTGGCCCGTCCCATCCGTTTCACGTACCCCCCTTATCCAGCTGCAGGTGGCCCCTGATCGCCCGAGACACCTGCTCCCTCCTGCAGCGCGCCTTTGTTTGCGTATTTCTTCCCTGGAGTGCCCTTTCTTAACATTGGGATGGGACAGCCAGGGGACAGACAGATTTGGCTAGTCTGTCAGGCATGGGCTCCCCCTATTTGGCCCTGGTGGGCTGAAGGAGCCGGGTGAAGAGGAGGGGCCACATACCAGGATGACAGGAAGAAGATGAAGAAGGGAACAGACACGGTTAACTGTAGCCAGCGCCACTGGGGGATGGCGTAGGCCAGGCCGGGCAGAATGAACTGGCCAACGGTGTAGCAATACCCAATTGCCGTCGACGTGATGGCCCGCATCCGTGTGGGCACCCACTCCACATCTGCAGGAGGAGCCCAAGGACCAGGTTAGGGCCCTACTAGGCCCCAGGCACCTTTCTGCGGAGGGGCACCAGCTTCTGCTTCCCCATGGCTACTTGATCTGATCCTGATCCTAAGGGCTCGTCATCCCCATTTCACAGATGCTGCAGCTGAGGCTCAAGGAGGTAGGACTCAAACCCAGGTCTGTCTACTCCGAAGCCCATGCTCTCGACCACTGCCTCTCCAGTGGCAAGTGCCTTCCCTTGTTTTGCCTTAATTTCCTCATCTGCAAGGAGGTAGGACTCAAACCCAGGTCTGTCTACTCCGAAGCCCATGCTCTCGACCACTGCCCTCTCCAGTGGCAAGTGCCTTCCCTTGTTTTGCCTTAATTTCCTCATCTATCAAATGGGGATAATAGTCTCACTTACTGCTGTGTGGCCTGAATGAGATCTCACACCTAGTGAAGTGCCAGGCCAGGGTCACTCCTCAGTACTGACTACTGCTATTATTGTTATACTTGTTGTCATTTCAGAGGGGGCTCTGGGGTCCTGAGAGGGGCAGCACCTTGATCAAGGTCACAGGGAGCCCGTGGTTGAGCCCAGATCCCACTCTTTGGGGGGCTTCTGGCTGGTGCTCCCCAAAGCTCTGCTCCCTGCCCCTTGCCCCCGCCGTGGCTCACTTAAGATGACTGTGCTCAGAGTGATGCCTGAGATCCCGAAGCCACACAGGAAACGGAAGACTATGTAGACGGTCAGGGTGGGGCTGAAGGCTGTACTGGAGCCGCCGACGGCCAGCAGTAGGTAGCTGCCGGACAGGATGATCTTGCGGCCAAACCTGCAGCTCAAAGAGAGGAAGGGCCAGGTTAGCCACCGTGTGCCTGCCAAGATGAGTGACTCTGCAGGCTTTGGGGCAAAGGGCTGGACCCGACCCCCCTACCTTCCTCCCAAAGGATCAAGCAGGTCATATAACTCCCTCCCCAGACACAGCCTTGCTGTTAATTGCTATTTTTCAACAAGTTTGCAATTAGAGGTTTGAGTTAATGACTGATCTCCTTCACCTCCACCCCCAGCTTAGCTGACTGAGCAGGGGTCAAAGGAGCACCCATCTCTAAGCAGCCCATCCGCCCTGCCTCCACTGCTACATAGCCACTATGCTGTGTCCCAAAACCCGAGGCTTTCCCCTCTGGGTCTGGGGAGGTTGGGAGACTCAAGTTGTAAGGGCTTTGCAGCAAAGGGAAGGCTGTGGCCCAGAAAGGGAATGGGACTTGCCTAAGGCCACACAGCAAGAGTCATCCCTCCCGTCTCCCCCAGCTCTTTGCCTCTTTGGGGTGCATGGGTGGAGCAGAGTGGGGAGTGCGTGTCTTCACGGGTTGCACCGCCTTGTCTCACCTGTCAGACAGGTCTCCCAGCACGAGCCCTCCAATCAGTATGCCCGCCATGAAGACAGACTGGGCCATCTCCTTCAGTTTGTTGGATTTGCACACCAAGTCCCACTGCACAAGAGAAAGGTAGGGCCACCCGGCTCAGTGCAGACCAGCCCCCTCGGCCGTGCACAGCTGGCGCCCTCACACATGCTGGCTCTCTCCCCCAGCACCCTGACTTGGCTCCCTGAGCCTGGCCCCTGACTCCCTCGCACCAGTTACTCTTTCAGCCTGGCTGGGGGCTCCATAGGTCCCTGACCCACTGTTGTGTTATGACAGCATCCCTCAAGCATGTGAGGCTGACAGTCTCTTCAGCTGCCACATCCAGATCTGTCCTCAATCTCCTCCCTAATCCCCTCCAAGTATGCCTGGGTCCCTGTGTGCTGTGGTTTGAATGTCCCCCAAGCTTATGTTGGAACTTAATTCCCAATATGGGAATTTGAAAGGTGGGACCATTAAAAGGTGATTGGATCGTGAGGACTGTGCCCTTGTGAATGGATTAATTCATTCATGAAGTAATGGGTTAATGGCTTAATGGGTTTATCAGGGAGTAGGCTGGGGGCTTTATAAGGAGAGTAAGTGAGCAGTAAACGCTGGTGCCGTTCTCACCACGTGATTGCCTGCATCACCGGGGGACTGGGTAGAAAGTTCCCACCCAGAAGGCCCTCACCACATGTGCCCCCTCAACCTTGGACCTCCCAGCCTCCAAAGCTGTAGGAAATAAATTTTATTTATCTATAAGTTATCCAGTTTCAGGTGTTCTGTTCTGAGCATCAGAAGATGGACTGATACACTGCGGCCTTTCCTTCCCTCCCCTCCTCTCCTGCAGCCAACGCCAGTCCCTCCACCTGCACCATGACCTCACCCTCTCGCCTCCCCAGGGACATTCCTCCATTGCTGCCACCTCCCTCCAGCCCATATCTCAGTCTCTCTCACTCTCTCCCGACTCCTCCCTCCTCTCCTGCAGCCAACGCCAGTCCCTCCACCTGCACCATGACCTCACCCTCTCGCCTCCACAGGGACATTCCTCCATTGCTGCCACCTCCCTCCAGCCCATATCTCAGTCTCTCTCACTCTCTCCCGACTCCTCTCCATCAGCATTTGTATGTGTTCAAATCTCTCCATCCGAAAACTCTCTTTTCCTAATTCACTCCATTTCCCCCTTCCCTTCAAAATAAATCTCTTGAATGAGGAGCTCATTTCTCAGGTCTGGACCCCCAGGCCACTGAAACTGCACTCACCAAAGCCATCGATGACTCTTTTTCACTAGACACAGTGGAACCTTCCATGTGCTGAGCTGGCTTGACCCTGGGCCACCAGGGACACTGCTGACCTCTCCCTCGGCCGGGTTTTCCTGCTGCCGTGCCTCCTTTTCCTCCATTTGCTGCCTTCTCTCTGCTGAGCCCTTGAAGCTTCCCCAGGGCTCTTCCTGGATCCTCCCCTATCCACCTTCCCAGGCAATGCCATCTGTTCCTGTGGCTTCGATCACTGTATTATGCTGAAGACTCCAAATCCGTATCTCCAGCCCAACCTCTCCTCTGGCCTCCAGACCAGTAGATTCAAGCTGCCTACTTGGGAACTGCATCCAGATGATGCCACATGTGCATCTCAGACTCAACGGGACCTGTCACCCCACTCTTCGTAAAGTCCCAATCTCATTGACTGATGACTCTCTCTTTTTAAAATTTTAATTTAAAAAAATCTATACTATTGCTCTTTTTGTTTTTGTCTTTGGTTTTTGGCAGCTGGCCAAAATTTATATTATTTCTAATTGACAAATTTTTTTTTAGTTTGAAATTTTTATTTATTTTTAGCATATTCATTCTTACAGATTGTGGTATTGCTCTATGCCCTTTGCTCTCATTGACAAATTATAATCGTATTACATGTGGGGAGAACAAGGTGATGTTTTGATATATGTATACGATGTGCAGTGATTAAATCAAACTAATAGATCCATCACCTCACTTACTTGGCATTTTTTGTGGTGATACATTTGAAATGTACTCTTGTAGTGCATTTGAAACGTACAACATAACTGTTGACTATAGTCACCCTGTTGTGCAATAGATCTCAGAACTTTATCGGCCTGTCTAGCTGACCTTTGTACCCTTTGACCAGTATGTCCCATCCCCGTGCTCCATGCCTCCCCCTGCCTCTGATAACCACCGTTCTACTCTCTACTTCCATGAAATTCAACTTTTTAAAGCTTCCACATAAAGTGATATCATGCTGCTAACCTTCTCTTACCTCCTCCCGCTCTCTCCCACTCCACAATCACTCAGTCCTCAAGTTTCTTACCTTTTAATATGTTGTGAGTCTGGATTCTTTTTTTTTTTTTTTCCTTTTTGTCTTTTTTACTGACCAGTAACGGGATCGCAACCCCCCGCACCACGCTCAGCCAGTGAGCGGGAACCAGTCTCCACATGGGATCCGAACCCTCGGCGGGAGCGCCGCTGCGCTCCCAA